TGGCGTTGTTGGAAGACTTCTACGGGTCCGCGAGTGGGGGTCGTTCGGCCCACGCTAAGTTCTCAGCGTGGACGGGAGCGCTGGCGGCGAAGGCGACCGTTTCACGGGGACTCTCGAGCTAGGGAGTGGAGTGGACCTGTGCCGAGCTTACTTCAAGGGCCTTATCTATGTTGGGTTGGCGTGGGGAGCTCGTATCTCTTGGTTGGTGTCTTTAGCTGCCGCCTTGGCGGTTGGAGCTAGTAAGAAGGCCTTACGGACGCCTCGTATCGATGGAGCTGGACGCGAGAGTGCCTACTATGCCGATGCTGTGAGCGCCATCAAGGAGGAGCAACAAGCTTCCGTAGGGCGGGAACGCGTGGAGGCGGACGTCCGAGGCCAAGCCGCGGGGAAAGGATACGACATTGATGTCATGAAGATCCCTTTGGAACATGAAAGGTTCGCAGGACCAACTCCGGAACTACCATATGTGGGGTTCAAATCTGATCTCCAAGCAGCCTGTCTGTTCTACGGGTTCGGCGGTCGACGGGCGGTCATTTTCGTCTTCCGGCATCTGGCACGTTCCCTGCGTTGGGAGATGGTCGCAGCCCTCAAGACTGATGAACCTACCCTCGAAATGGTTTGGACCTATCTGGACAAACGGTATGGCATGCTCGAAACTCCCCAGTCGGCCGCCACTCGGTGGGAGAAGGTTCGTCAACGCCCTGATGAGTCAATTCTGGATTTCTATGGCAGGGTGCGAAGTGAGGCGGATGTCTTCCGGAAAACGGCCGGCGCGGTCATTACCGAGGAGTTGGTCGGGGCCAAGCTTTTGAACGGTCTGAAGGAAGCTATACGATCGGGTCTGGACCTGTCCTACGCGCATCGTTTGACATATATGAAGGTGGATGAGATCAGGGATGCGGCGGTGTATGTGGAGGATCGCTTGTCGAAGGGGGTGCGGAGCATTCCGACCCGAACTAGCAAGGAGGATCCGAAGGGAAAGCCCTCAGCTGGAGGTGGGGGGAGTGTCACCCGAGAGGCGCGCTCAGTATCGGCAGGGGGAGATGGAATAGTTAAATGCGAGTACTGCTTGAAGAACGGTTTTGCCAAGGATGCCATTAAGCACACTGAAAGGAACTGCTGGAAAAATCCAGCGAATGCTGATCGGGTTCCTAAATGGTATAAAGATAAGTTCTCGAAGGGAGGTGGTGCTACGTCATCCGCAGAGGTGGAGCAGACGTCTAGGGAGAAGCCGAGGTCCTTTGCAGTGAAGGCAATGAGTTTGCAGGCGTTCACCGCCCGATGCTGGGGACCCACTTCTAAGGGGACAAAATCGGGGGAGGATCCTCGGAGATATCGAACTATATCCGTCGTGATCGACACTGGTGCGGACTATACATTGGTGGGTTTGCCTACAGCTACAGCCCTCGGGTTGGAAGTTAGATCGTATGCCTGTCCTGAACCGGTAACCTCGGCGGCCCAGGGTGGGAGCCTACTGGTGGTTGGCGAGTCGGACGCTCTCCTCTCGGCCGTTGGTCTGGATGGGAAGGAGACGTGGTTCTCGTTGTGTGTGAAGGTATGCCGCAACCTGGCCGAGGACATCGGTCCCTATGCGTTGTTGTTGGGAGTAGAGGCGATGCATCGGATGCGTGCAACTATATCGTTGGGCGAAAGGGTCTTTCATTGTGCGGAATTGTCCGCGGCCTGGGCTCTGCGTGGTTTTGACAGTGGGGCGAAGCCCGGAGGTCAGGTCTACCAGGCATCCGTGGACGAGTCAGTGTCTCTCGCCGAAGAAGCCATCCGGGAAAGGATGCAGGGTTGGGAGTGGCCAGAAGTGACTCTGGAGTTGAAGCCCAATGCAGTTCGACCTAAGCCGAGGAGCCCTTACCGGTGCGGACCGACAGAACAACGAGCCATGGAGTTGCTGGTCGGTGGGCTCATTGACTCAGGGGTAGTGGAACCGGTGTCGAAGGCTCAGATCGACGAGGAGGCTATGTGGGTGGTATCCGCTTTCGTCGTCCCTAAGCCGAGCGCCAAGGCTCTCGTGGAGGCATCACTGGACCAGGAATCCGTGTCCCGGTTCTTCCGATTGGTGGTAGACGAGAGGGCGGTAAATGAGGCTACTGCGGATCTTCCTTCACCATGGCGTACCTATCAATCTACCATACCAGCGTTGTTATCGTGCATACCCTCCGAGGGGCCGGTCTATTATGGCACCCTTGATGTTAAGAATGCATATTACTGTCTACCCCTGGCTTCTTCATGTCGGCATATGTTCGCATTCAGCTATCATGGGACCGACGGGCGGATCAGGTATGCCCGCTTTGTGAAAATGGCCATGGGATGGGTGGGCAGCGCAGCATGGTGGTCTTACGGGTTACATGAACTCTTATCCCGCTCGGTAGGTGAGCTGTTACAGGCGGGAAAGGTACTTTGCTATGTGGACGACATTTTGGTATGGGGACGAACCGAAGAAGAGTGTCGTGCTCATATGAAAGCGGTAAGTGTGGCGTTAGGCATGGCCGGGGCGGAGACTCCCATCCATAAACGCCAGGGACCTTCTTTGGAGTTGGACTTCGTCGGTATGCGCCTATGCCAAGGGTACTATACCGTGGCCGAGCACAGCATCGTAGATTTGCGTCGGGCTCTCGAGACGAGACCCACGAATCTTCGGGGTCTACGCTCGAAGATAGGGCTGGCACAATTTTGCCGGTCACTATGGTCCCCCGACATTTCTAGAGGGGTTGGGGCGGAAAATACCTTGAGTCACCGCTTGGCTAGGTTCACCGATGTGATCGGACAACTCTCTGCTAGAGGAGCCAAAGCTAATACCAAGCTCGATTGGGATGAGGACATGGACTTTGATTGGCGTGGTCTGGTGACCATGGCTCAAAGTCGGACGAGTCGAGCTGCAGGGCTCGACTCGACTCGACATTTCTCCGCCACCGGGCTCGACCGAGTTCGACTCGTCGAAAATCAGACGAGCCTCGACTCGACTCGCCGGACTCGACATGCCGGAAGGTGGTCAATACCATTGACTCAATAGGTACTAACTGTGACTGATGCCAACTAGGTTCAACCAGGTCTATGGAAGTCTCCCATTGGAAGACTTCAGCTGTCAGGTACGCATCTGTGAATGAACGTTATGTTCACAGACTGTGAGCATAACGTTCACAGATACCGTTCAATTTGAACGGTTCAAACTTGCAATGTTCGAATAATAGAAAGGTCCGCTTAGATTTGATTCCATTTATCCAAGGAAACACTCTTGAATCAAGAATCTGGATTACCGACACATTCATTGAATGAATTTCTCGGAATGAATTTCATTCCGAGCTTCATGTGTATTTAACTGCATTCAAAACATATGAATGTTCCGAGTTATGATGCTCGACCACCGAGGATTCTCTTCCCCATAATCTGAGAAAGACACCACAAGTCTGTCGCTAGACACGCTGTCAGCGTGTGAGTGCCTAGCCACTCAGCCACTCAGCGTGACACTGAGTGACCAGCATGACGCTAATAGGTCGATAGTCCAGCAGCCCGACTATTAGCTATCGAACTATTAGCGTCATGCTAGCCCGACTCCGGCTCGGCCGATCCGAGTTTTAATTCGACATTCCTAGACTCGATCCTCAGCGAAATCAAGTCGAAATGCAGTACCATCTTTGGTTCTCCGATCGGCCCAATAGTTGCTGTAGCTCGGCAGGAGTACGAGAACATCTCGGCATGTGAATTAGCAAGAACTGAGATGAATATCATGTCCGTGGCTATTCTGATACAGTTCAAGTATATACCTACATTCTGTGAACGATAGAATGGGGGAGCGTGGACGGAATTTGACCGTCAATGTCAGCGATTGCTGAACTTCGGTGTCTCGAATATCATATTTGTGGCTATTCAGATACAGTTCAAGCATACACCCAGATTTTGTGAACTAAAGAATGGGGAAGCGTGGACGGAATTTGACCGTCAATGTCAACGATTGCTGAACTTCGGTGTCTCGAATATCATATCCGTGGCTACTCCCATACAGTTCAAGTATACACCCAGATTCTGTGAACTATAGAGTGGGGGAGCGTGGACGGAATTGGACCGTCAATGTCAGCGATTGCTGAACTTCGGTGTCTCGAATATCATATCCATGGCTATTCCCATACAGTTCAAGTATACACCCAGATTCTGTGAATTATAGAGTGGGGGAGCGTGGACGGAATTTGACCGTCAATGTCAGCGATTGCTGAACTTCGGTGTCTCGAATATCATATCCGTGGGTATTCCCATACAGTTCAAGTATACACCCAGATTCTGTGAACTATAGAGTGGGGGAGCGTGGACGGAATTGGACCGTCAATGTCAGCGATTGCTGAACTTCGGTGTCTCGAATATCATATCCATGGCTATTCCCATACAGTTCAAGTATACACCCAGATTCTGTGAATTATAGAGTGGGGGAGCGTGGACGGAATTTGACCGTCAATGTCAGCGATTGCTGAACTTCGATGTCTCGAATATCATATCCGTGGCTGTTCTGATACAGTTCAAGCATACACCCTGATTCTGTGAACTAAAGAATGGGGGAGCGTGGACGGAATTTGACCGTCAATGTCGACGATTGCTGAACTTCGGTGTCTCGAATATCATATCCGTGGGTGTTCTGATACAGTTCAAGTATACACCCAGATTCTTTGAACTATAGAGTGGAGGAGCATGGACGGAATTTGACCGTCAATGTCAGCGATTGCTGAACTTCGGTGTCTCGAATATCATATCCGTGGGTGTTCTGATACAGTTCAAGTATACACCCAGATTCTGTTAACTAAAGAATGGGGGAGCGTGGACGGAATTTGACCGTCAATGTCGACGATTGTTGAACTTCGGTGTCTCGAATATCATATCCATGGCTATTCCCATACAGTTCAAGTATACACCCAGATTCTGTGGACTATAGAGTGGGGGAGCGTGGACGGAATTTGACCGTCAATGTCAGCGATTGCTGAACTTCGATGTCTCAAATATCATATCCGTTGCTATTCTGATACAGTTCAAGCATACACCCAGATTCTGTGAACTAAAGAATTGGGGAGCGTGGACGGAACTTGACCGTCAATGTCAGCGATTGCTGAACTTCGGTGTCTCGAATATCATATCCATGGCTATTCCCATACAGTTCAAGTATACACCCAGATTCTGTGAACTATAGAGTGGGGGAGCGTGGACGGAATTTGACCGTCAATGTCAGCGATTGCTGAACTTCGGTGTCTCGAATATCATATCCATGGCTATTCCCATACAGTTCAAGTATACACCCAGATTCTGTGAACTATAGAGTGGGGGAACGTGGACGGAATTCGACAGTCAATGTCAGCGATTGCTGAACTTCGATGTCTCAAATATCATATCCGTTGCTATTCTGATACAGTTCAAGCATACACCCAGATTCTGTGAACTAAAGAATTGGGGAGCGTGGACGGAACTTGACCGTCAATGTCAGCGATTGCTGAACTTCGGTGTCTCCAATATCATATCCATGGCTATTCCCATACAGTTCAAGTATACACCCAGATTCTGTGAACTATAGAGTGGGGGAGCGTGGACGGAATTGGACCGTCAATGTCAGCGATTGCTGAACTTCGGTGTCTCGAATATCATATCCGTGGGTGTTCTGATACAGTTCAAGTATACACCCAGATTCTGTGAACTAAAGAATGGGGGAGCGTGGACGGAATTTGACCGTCAATGTCGACGATTGTTGAACTTCGGTGTCTCGAATATCATATCCATGGCTATTCCCATACAGTTCAAGTATACACCCAGATTCTGTGGACTATAGAGTGGGGGAGCGTGGACGGAATTTGACCGTCAATGTCAGCGATTGCTGAACTTCGATGTCTCGAATATCATATCCGTGGCTGTTCTGATACAGTTCAAGCATACACCCAGATTCTGTGAACTAAAGAATGGGGGAGCGTGGACGGAATTTGACCGTCAATGTCGACGGTTGCTGAACTTCGGTGTCTCGAATATCATATCCATGGCTATTCCCATACAGTTCAAGTATACACCCAGATTCTGTGAACTATAGAATGGGGGAACGTGGACGGAATTTGACCGTCAATGTCAGCGATTGCTGAACTTCGGTGTCTCGAATATCATATCCGTGGGTTTTCGGGTTCTTGGACAGTGGAAGAACGCGAAGCTAATTTTTGTCGGTCCGCCTTCGGCGGACAACGACCACCGTGACGGCGCTTAGTCACACTTCGCAAAGCGGACTTCGCATACCATGCGAGTTGCCTCTTCGAGGCTCGACGGGACTCGACCGAGGCTCGCAGGGAAGTAAGAAATTGTGAAACTCGACCGAGCTCGACCGAAAAACGAGTCGAGCTTCGAGGCTCGGCCGAGCCGAGCCTCGACTTTGAGCTATGCTGGTGACATCTATGGGGACGGGCGTGACACATTTTCACCGAGCAGACGATGTGGATAGCACACTACAGTTCGTCATTATGGTGGACTCGTCAGCATATGCCGGGGCAGCCACCTTATTTCGTGTGGCTCGCCCGGAAATGTTACGGGTGGTCTCTGAAGGTGGTCTCAAGGCGACGTGGGTGGGAGAGCACGGAGCTCTGCTCGCAGTATGGACCCATAAGTGACATCAGCACGAGCGTCGCTATGACATCGCTGACCGGGAACTATATGCGGCATGCTACGCGCTGCGGGAATGGCGGCATATCTTGCTGACCTCTCTGATGTTGGCGAAACATGCGGGGCAGGACTGCTCGGGGTCTGGACTTGGCAAGATAGGCCGTGTCGTGTTGCTGACGGATAGCACCTCGGCTCTAGGGAAGTTGGTGAACCGCTTGGACGTGACTAAATTCGTCCCGGATGCACGGCAAGCGAGACGATGGCTCAGCTGGTTGAGCTGGGTCAACGAGTATGAGCCGGCAGACGTCACCTTCTTCCACATTGGGGGCACCCAAAATCAACTGGCTGATCTATTGTCTCGGCTGGTGGATAATGGACGCCAGTATATGCCTGAAGGGAAGGAGGTCCCAGTGGCTTTGCTGGCAGGTACTGGTTCTTCGTCGGGCCAATCTCAGATTCCTCCTCCGGAAATCCTCAGCATCTTCTCCTCCGAGGGATTTTTAGGATCCGTGGCACAGTTGCAGCGGTCGGACGAGGCTACGGTTCTCTTTGGTCTGTCGTTAAGAAAGTGGCATCAATATCTTGATGGTGATGATGGCTCGTCTCTCAATCATCCCCTGGCTAAGGAGGCCGAGAAGCTGGGACTGGTGGCTCGGCAACGAGGGGTGATTCAGGTATATGGAGACGTCGATCTCTCGGACGGAGTCTGGGTACCTGTTATCCCTGAAGGTCGTAGTGATGAATTCTATCGGCTGGTGCGAACCAACTGCGAAGTGACTTGGGATATAAGGACGTGGGTTCTTTTCTGTTTTCATGAGCTGGCCTCACACCAAGCTCCTTGGTCAATGAAGAGTCAGATTGTCCGGTTGGCCTGGTTTCCTCGGTTGGCGAAGGCGTGCCGGCTCTGGGTGGACAAGTGTGATCAGTGCATGGACACTAAAACGGCAGGTCGGTTGGCTATGCTTACGGCTCCTAGGGTTCCGCGAGGTCTGATCGACGGGAATCAACGGATGAAACACTTAACAATTGATCATGGCTTTCCAAGCAAGGATTGGTTGTCTCCTAATGATCCCGATCTCACCTGTTTCTTGGTTATAACCGACTCGGCCACTGGTTACTGTGTTGTGGCGGGAGCCCCATCTACTACTACTGAGGTTACGCTGAAATTGCTCTGGGACCGTTGGGTCGCTTACTTTGGCATTCCTCTGAGCCTTATGTCGGACAACGCGTTGGATTCTCAGATGATGCGCCACTCTCTGGCTGCCACAGCCATTCAGTACTTGCCGGTTCCCGCGTGGAGTCCGTTCTCAAATGGTTTGGCGGAGGTGCGAGTGAAAAGGCTCAAGCAGATTGTATCGGTCATGGAACTGCCTTGGGACGAGGCTCTCTGGTATGCCCAAATGACGGTAAATTCTGCTGCCCGTGCCTCTGGGGCAAGTGCTGCGGAGCTGGTCATGGGGAGTCGGATATTAACGCCCTCAGAGGCCTTGGTGGGTGCCATGGTTCAGGCTGAAGAGATGGACGGTACCACGGTGGAGGTGGATCCATCGACGGCCGACCCCACACACATCAAGGAAGTCGTGACTCGTCTTTTGGATCGTGAACGAGTTACAGTGCTTGAGACCCGCTTGCGGGAATCAGTGCGAAGAGTGGCATCAGGCCGAGGCCATAAGAAAGATGTCACAGATCTGGAGGACGGAACCCTGGTGGTGTGGCGCCGCCCGGGCGCTCTGGACGTTGAGGGTCACGTGGTGAAAGTTCAGACGGTGGACGTCAACAGCGGTCCTTATGTTTATTTGGGGCGAATGGCAGGGTTCTCTACTCGGCTTCGTCCGCTCGGGTCGATTTCTGGTAAAACCATTGCAGTTTCCCCGTGTCATCTGGAGCCAAGGCGCGAAGAAGTGGATCGTACTCGAGCTACGCCGTCGGTTGAAGGCACCGTGAATCCCGCTAAGCTAAGGGATGGAGACTGTGTACTGGTTCGTTTGTTGACGGGCGCGGATGTACTGGGCTTGTATGCGGGACCTTCCATCGATGACCAAAAGGCTGAAGGTCGGGTTCACGTACTGGACAGCGAGGATGGTCGACATTTTTACCCGGTATATTTGAATCCCGACGGTACTACTCTCATGGCGGAGACACCACCTCAAGGTGCTACTGCCCTTCTGAGATCTTTTTCCAAGGTGATGGCTTCGTTAAAGCTCACCTCTACGAGGCTATTGTCAAAGGATAGCCGCGAGACTCTTGTAACCCGCGGTTACTTGAGCGGATGACGTTGTCGCCGACTGGGGGGAGACTCTGTCGCGTACGGAGGTACCACTACGACAATCTAGGCAGCCGCCTCCAACGGTGATCGTGTCTGTGTTTCTGTCGGTGATCGCTTCTGTCTTGATTTCTTCATTTTCTTTCCTTATAGTTGGTCTTTCCGTGTACGGTTTGGGGCAGGTTGGTGCCGCACAAGATTTGTGCGGAATCTTGTTCATTGATAGCGTTTAACGTGAAGTACGCGAGTTGATCGATATGGTTGAAGCAGAACGACTCCGGATTGAGGGAGACTTCTGGGGTTTTTTCTTTCGGTAGCATCAGGATATGTTTGAACATTTATAGCGTGTTGTAAACATCTTCTGATGACTATCTCATCATCCAGCGCCGATGCTAGTGTTGGGTTATTCACCAGTGGTGATTGGCTTGATCA